AAAAAAAAAAAAAATAAAAAGAAACAAGAATAAACAACTACAGGAAATATAATTTCAAAAAAAAAGAACTGAAAAAATATTAACTGTACACTGTATGTTGTATGATTATTAAAAAACACAGTGGAAACGATAGCGACGGCGACGATAGCGGTGTATGAGTCCTAATGTCACAAGCACTTCATTTTCCTAACCATAATATAATATGCAACCGTCTTCAGACCGATGGAATAACGTATACAACGAAAATACAACAAAATCGAATCTGAAAGCCTGAGAAAAAGAAAAAGGTTGAAAAAATAACGCTAATGTCGATGACGATGAAGACGTGGAGACAATGATGAAGACGATGATAACGATGATTGGAGTGACAGCTTCAACGAAAATGAAGATGGCGGTGACAACGACGATGTTAATCAGTTTAAACAACAAGTTTTGAGCAACTGAAATATCGCTTCTCAACAATCAATTGGGTTTCTGCAATACTCTTTGGAACCGTCTTCTGATCGTCGTAAACCGTGTGGACATCGTTTTATACCTAGGGCATCTCGGACGGCGAGGCATTCGTATTTTAGAGATTTAATTGGCACTGAAAAGTCATCAGTCAATAATAAGTCAGAATTTTATAAAACAATAAAATTTTGACAGTATTACGGTTTATATTTCGTGAATGGTTTCTAGAGAGCCATCAGAAGGTTAATTTAATTGTTGATCAATGGCAAGTCTAGTGAAGTTTACAATTAAAGATAGTTTTAAAAGAATTAAAACTAACAGCCACAGGGTTTGGTTTCTTTTGGACATTTCCGAATATCTTTCCGATCCACGCATTTCAGATAACGTGTACGCATATTGTTGGATTTCTGTGAACATTTTGACCATCTTGTGTACTTCAGGTCATCATCTTCCCCCAACGGTTCGTCCTGAAAAAAAAACATGTCTTTCCCATTTGCATTCCCTGTTGTTCCCACAATCTAGTACGACAGTCATGAAAAATTTTCATTCCAATTTTTTTTTATCATAGTTGTTGAGCACTGTTGCACATACTTTGTACCATTTGGCCGAGTTGTTTTGAGGGAACATTTCATCTCGAGGTACATCAAAGTACAACATTTGTACATTTGGTTGCTCCGATACAAATGTCTCGCTAGCTGTATAGCGACTCTCGGAATTCAACAGACAGTTCTACAAGCAACAGTCAATATCAATAACATTCTAATACAAAATCACAATACCAGCACATTATTTACACTTACTTTTACAAATAATGCTGCTTAAACTTACAGTATAGAATGTTTCATAGTTTTGTAGTGTAGTTTTGTTGCCAAAAAGTATAAAAAAAATTTCTTTAATATGCTCTAAAGCGTATTCAAAAGTTTAGGCAGTGTCAGTAACTAAATTACATCTGCTAAACTAACAGACATCCGACAGTATCTGTGGTACCATAAACGAACTGACATTATGCATTTGAATATAACTTTAATAACGTTAACTGATTTTATTTGAATGACAATTCATATACCACCTAATTTATTTTACCTGTTCCTCATCTGCTGGATACCACATTCCAGATCGGCAAATAAAATTAAAATCTTGTTCGGCGCGTAAACATGCCAAAAGACATTCATCTAGTGTTTCGGCATCTGTAACTTCAAGAACGTGGCCGATCAGCACTCGATTTTGAATTACTGGCCATAATAGTTTGGTAGTTGCCGCCAACGAAGCTTGCAGACACACCTAGAAAATTTGATCTTTATAAATAACATCATTGAACAAATCTGAACAGTACCATTTAACACAGTCAATTACTGCTTGGCAGCAAAAATAAACGAAAGTTTGGGTAACAAAAAAAAAAAAAAGAACAGAGAACAAAGAAAACCTAACTAATTTAATACAGCTAAAAACAAACTTTTTCTATATATGATGTCTGAAATGACGATTTAAATTCTTCAGCAAGTACATGCGTAACTGGAGAAGACGATAGTTCACAGCCAAATGTATTAACAGTTGCAGATATACTATGAAGAAAAAAAAATTAGGAAAAAACTTGGTCATTTTTAAACAATAACTTTATAAAAAGTTGAGAGTATTCTAAAAAAATAAGTGAATAAACAAATGTGTGAATAAATAAAAAGTGGAACATACATAAGAAAAAAAATAGTTGAATCGTTAATAATCTCAATAAACTAACAAATTATTGCTAATATTTGTTATGAACGGCAACCACTATTATTACAGTTGACTTTGCTAACATTACTGACTTTCTCTGATGTATAAATATCAGTTTAAAAAACTATCAACAGGTTGCAACACTGTTTTGACAACATTTAATTTCTACCTTTTTTTTTCCCATGAGTTTTTACTATATACAGAAAAAGAGGAAGAAAAGATTAGCGCATCAATTTATGAAACTAAACTAACCATGTAAATGATTCATCTTTGTCACATGCTTTTGCACAACTCTCCACATTAGCAGTCGGAATTCTTTGGGTTTCTGTACCCGGATCAGTTCGTTGTACGTTCTGTATTACAGCATAACGTGTAGTTTCGGTTTCACCACAACTATCTGTGACTGCCGAAGATACTTTTGGTGCTGCTGTGGTTGGTGGTGGTGGTGGTGAGTAAAACGTTGGTGGAGGTGGTTGTGTTAAAGTTTGATCAATCTGTAATTGACTAAGCGCATTCTTTTTTGTTTTAAGAGGTTATCCATCTTTATCGTATTATGAATAAACATATAAATTTGTGAGTACTATTTGATATAATGGTAATAATTTGTATTTTTATGATTATTTTTATAGATTTTATTGCTTCAATTAAACTATTTTGATATGTTATACCATTGCTAATTTTTGTTGCTTGTGTCCCTGTAATTTTTCAACTGGTATCTTGACACGTGTCTCGGTTGGTTGTCCACGTATAATAATCGGTTTTTTAAGTGGAATAATTTTTTTGCCCAACGGTAACATTGATGGTTTACTTCGTGCAATTGAAAAACCGGAAGAGTTTATACGATAAATTTTTGGTAACGGTTTTTCTGGTTCTGTTTTTCGAATAATTAACACATCGCTAGGTAATGGCCGTCGAGCATTTAGATATCTGTAAAGCAGCAAATTTTGAGAACTCAATTAAAAAAATACTATTAATTACATATTGAACAACCAAAGAAGTTGAGCTCTAAAATGTTATTTTACAAAACCGTTATTTTAACTGTATCAAAACATTCAACCATTTTTTTAATTCCAATTGATATTTGGGCCTTAATAAAGAACTAAAAATAAAGCTAAAAAAATACCAAAAGAGACACAAGAATAAAAAAAAAAGAATTTGGAACACTTTTGAAAAAATTTCATTGTTTTCTTCTTTATCAGATCTTCTGATCAATACGGCTATAAATTTTATTTTTAACCTAATCAAAATTGAGACCACTAAAAAAAAACACTAATAACAGCACTAAAAAAACTTCTATATTTGTCGTTAAAATGGTTATAATGGTCAAAAAAAAAACAGTGTACGATAGACTGTATTATGAATGAACAAATTTTTAACAAGAAAAAAAATTAGTAAAACTATTGGAATATTAATGTGATTAAAAAAATGACTGAAAATAAAATTGCAAAATGATGAAAAAAAAAAGCAGTAAAGAAAACAAAATTTTTTCTTGCCTTTTCAGTTTATTGTTTTGTGGTTTTTTTTTTTTGGAAAAGCGGAGAGAAACGGGAAGTATTGAGTGGTGACGACTTCAAATATCGAGTAGAAAAAAAAAAGAAACAGTTTTCTTAGAGATAAAAAAAATAGATGTAGGCCATTTGGTATCTTAGTATATTAGTATATCCATCGAAGCAGATGCAGAATTGAGCAAATTTAAGTCTAAATAAAGCATATAAAAATTTGTTCATTTTTCTCATTTGATATCTGTCTTTTTCCTCTTTTTTGTCGTGTTGTGATCAATTTATCGATAGACAAAGAAGACCGCAAAAGGAAACAACATTAAATTGTTCAACGCTTTTTTTTGCAACTAAAATTATCAATGTCAAGCAATTTGTCGCTCAAATGACATCTGTAAGTTGATCGTTTTTGAAAAAGTTTAGTAGATAAAGCTAAAATTACCATTATTCATTCACAAAAATATATATTTATAAGACAGTCAGTAAACCTATATTAAATTATGATTCAAAAGTTAGAGTTGAAAGAATTATGAGCAATGTTCAGCAGCGATACAGTATTAGCAGAAAGCTGTTAATTGCAAAAGGCTATAACAGTAACATAGAGCTCATTCTCAAAATCTTTTTTGGTATTAGATTACATCTGGTCAAGCGTACTTTCATTGACTTTCTACAGCACATCCAAAAGTCTAAGCAACCGGTCACTAAAGTTTTAGGTGCTTATTTTCTTTGATCAAAATCTTGGCATCAGCATAAATAGTAAGCTTCAATTCTTATAATTTACAATTTCTGCTTTGTTTATGCATTATTTTTTCGTTGGTTCCTCTGACTTTACCTAATGTTCAGCCAACCATTAAAGTCATTAATTAGTTCTGAAAAAATCAGATCTACAAAATGAAAATTGGGTAAAAGAAGACTTGAATAAAAAATCTAAATCAACAAATAGCTGTAAGCATCGTCTGAGCCTTTGACATAATAGAACTGTATCAAGAATCAAGCGGAATTAAAGTAACTATTATCACCGAACTACGAATATACAGGCTGTTAAAGTCTGTACAATTTTATCTGCTTCTGATTCTGTTATTTTGTTTCTTCATTTTTTTTTTACCCAGAATAACAGGATGTATGAAATTGATAGATGTTAGTGAGGCGAAAACATGAAAAAAAACTTCTGTTATGAATAATATGACATTTTTGACAAGTATCAATAACGCAAAAAAAAAGAAAATAAAAAGATAATAGATCAGAAAAAATAGATTAAAAAG